TCACCATAAAACAAGGAGTTTACAACTTTGGTAGATAACTAAAATGTCGGCAATAGAAACTTTCATGACCTTTACGATAAAGGCATTAATGAATTACAAATTGCTCTAAGTTGCATGGCATCCCGGATGGAACTAAGCTGTAGTCATTCTTGGCATGTCAATCATGAAACAATGTTCAGGTACCATGATTACGTCTTTAAGGCAAACTAATAGGTAAATGCGTAAAAAGGAGGGTTACGGTTAAGGACGTGAAGTCTGGAAGAGCGTGAAAATAGGGGTTCTTGGGTCTCAGTTGGCAGTGGGTTCTAGGTGTCGTTGGCCCTTACTCAGACGTCGAAGGGGCACGGGATGAGCATTGGGGACAGCTCAACAACTGTAATAGTAAAAACTGGCTGCTTGGAACTCCAAAAAAGGTGAGCTGAAACCAGGGGATCTTATTTGGGCTCGCCAATGGCTGTCGACGGTAGGGAAGGGATCGGTGGTGACATTGCTCCGGAGACTTGGGTGGAGGGCAAACACCGATGATGATTGCGGTTATGGTTGAGCTTGTGCGGTGAAGAAGATGAACAGTAACAAGGGAGAGCACCGGTGGAAATGGAAAGGAAAAAGAAAAAAGCCACGGACGCCGCGCGTTATTAAAAAGTAATAACAAAAAAGCCACATGAATCAACTTGACAAATATTATGATTTACTGTACTTTTGAAAGTTTTATGATTGAATAACGTTTTGCAACAAAGTTTTAGAACCTCTTGTGCATTTATCCGGCTATCCCTTATTTTTAATCGTTTAGAAAGGACCATGATTTCCTTTCTTTTCTTTTTTTTGGGTCAAGAAAAGGACCACGATTTCATAAGACTCTAATTATCCTTTCCAATCCATTTTGAAGGACCGTAATTTGTTTATTCGCACAGTATCGACTAAAAGCTGTCACCTTGATTGGAGAGGAGAAAGATCATCCACGCCACTCCCTTTGTGTTGTTTATCCTGTGACTGACAAAATTGTCATCAAGTCTTTCAGATGATGGCAACTCATCAGATTCACCTCTCTACTGTTATGTACAAAACCGGAGAAAGGTCAGGGACGCAGCAGCTAGCTTCTGCTAATTGTCATTTGTCTAAAGCGAAAAATGGGAGAGGAATTTTACTGCAGTGGCCCAAAGAGCAAGCCAGGGAGGTTCCACCTCCATCCATGTCGCTGCTTTGTGGATCATTCTCTCTATTAGAACATTTAAATAATAAATCACACCTTTATTTAGCAACTTAATCTTTTAGAATAGTTGGCGGTGATCCAACAAAAATCTCACGTGATATCAAAGCAGGAGGTCTCGAGTTCAAATCTTTCCGGGCCTCCCATTTGCCTCCCCAGCTGCATATTTCCACACCTTAGGCTAAGACCAAAGTCCACATGGGGTGACCATAAGCAAGATTTCATGATTAACCAATGTTGAGACAGGGACGAGAGGCGAAAGAGAGATTTGCGCTCTGAATCTAAGAATTGAGGTGGGCACTTGTAGATTCAGATCTGCTGGCATTAGCCTCCGCTGATACGGACAGGGACAGCTCCAATCCGAACAAATCTCTCCGAGGCCCACCGGTAAATTTCTTAACACCCGTCTTATTCCATTTTTTATGTGGGCGAATTGGATGGGGCTTCTGATACCAGCTGCCGAGCCAAAACTTCCGTATGCTCCGGGGGAACTTCTTTTTAAATGTTCATGCTTATCTCATGATTAATCTATGAAGACTTGGAATTTTGCATTTCGGAGGGAACAAACTCTTTTGGCTCTACCACCCGCCTGGGTGGCGCTGCTGGAGCGCGCACTCTTCCTCTCGCAAAAGGTTGAGTGTTCGAATCCCGGGTGCCGCAGGCTGACTTAACCGGTGCACGTGTGTGGTGGCTAGCACGTGTCGCCTCCAGGGTTTACCTCCCGGCTGTCGGCCGTGCGGGAGTTCCCTGGGTCATCAAAAAAAAAAAAAAAAAAACTCTTTTGGCTCATTGGAGGGTCGGCTTCATTGTCTCCATTAAGAAATAAAAATGCGGTGACCATCCAACGCTGTCTAAAGCAGAAAAGGTAGACAAACTTTCGTTTTGTCCTATGAGTGAAGTAGAACATGGACGTAAGAGTTTCCTGGACATGGGATGAAAGCTATAATATGCTATCTAATGTGTGATGTCCCCATCCCCCGTTGCATTCGTCGTCAGACGACAGTTTGACTATAATGCAACCCTCCTTCGGTCTAGGTTCAACGAACTGATGAACAGTGGCGAGACAATTATAGAATAGATTGACAATCTACTAGTGCAGTGCTCAACTTGTCACACCTGGAACCAACAAAAATGGGGGATGACACGGTCGTTCTTCGGGTGGAAGGATGCAGTCTCATACAGAAACCAACAACCAATTATAAAAATATGTATATCTCCATCTTTTTATACATATGCTAAACTAGTAAGTTGATTACAATATTATAATTTCTATAATCCATCAAAAAGAATATTTACATTATCAACACAATTAAACCCAACAAATGTCATCTCAAACATATATACAACTCCCTCAAACCATACTTAGAATCCAACTCCCAAAAGTCCTATCGATATCGCTCTCGCTCTATTGGTGAGATAGGAAGTGACACATACTTGGAAGGTAAAAAATACAATTGATTATCGTATTCTCTTTTAGTTGTAATGAGAAGCTTTCCGCTCAGCGTCGCCGGAATTTGATGCGGCTTAGCACACTTCAATAGTTGAATAAATCTGTCAATTTATCATGTGATCTCGGTGATGAACAATCATTGTGTTACTGTCACTGTGTTTATTATGTCAAACTGGGTGCAATCCTGATTTGTTAATAGAGTGAAATGAGTTGGCGAGGTTGAAGTCGAAGAGGAAGAGAAGATCGGAATTTCTAGTTTTGTACTGGTTGAATATGCGTTTAGATTGTCAGTCAGTGTTTCTAAGTACTTGCAGAAGGATGATGATTTGATAAGCCTGTACTCGTCCTTTCCACTTCATTATGGTATTGACTAAAAGCTTTCACCTTGATTGGAGAGGAATGTGGTTATCGATACCCCTCCCTTCATGTTGTTTATCCAGTGCCTATGAGTATGACAAGTTTACATATTGGACAAGAGCTTGGTGGCATCTAATCTTTATTTTGTCGAAAGTGAGAAAAATGGGAGAGGAAAATTATATTGGGATGTAGTTCATATTCCCCATCGATAAGAAGGTATGGAGGTTCCGCTCCCCAATAAGCGGGTAGGTCCGCTCATTGGGAAATCAACTGCTGGGTATAGTCTTAATTTAAGGGTAAATTAGGATAAAACCTTGCATCTCGATTTATCTTTCTCACATTTACTTTCTATTTCGTTGTGTTTGTGCACCTGATCCTAACAAATTGTACGAGGTTTCCACGGTATTTCTGTTTTTGTGAAAAGTAGAGTCCAAACGAAAGCTGACATTTGGGGGCAGGAGGTAGACAATAGCAGTGGCCCAAAGAGCTAGCCAGGAAAGCGAGACTCTCCCACCTCCATCCGTGTGACTGTTTTAGGAACATTCCTCGATTCTTTTCTTTGTCAAACTGCTGCTGAAAAGGGGGAGACGATTATCAAATGAATAGAGGGGATCAAATGACCAGCTTTTCATCAAATGAAAAAGCTTTAGCTTCTCATTATACAAGTTTGTCATCATTTGATTCCCGGATCAACTGAAAAAGCTTCATTTGAGAAGCTAGTTTATCAAATGACGAGATCTTTCTCTCTGTTTTAGGAACCTATACCGATGCCGATCGGCCGTCGTGCCTGCACAAACACCCGAGGTTTCCCTGCCTTCACTTCCCACCACGCGATTCTCACCTATATGGTTCCTGTGCCGCTCAACTTCATTGAGGTGATACATTAAGGGAAACCTGAGTCCCCATTTGACACCCGCTCTTTTACCACCTCTCTTGCCATCTTCTGTTCTATCGCTCACTGGCACATGCTGCCGTCTATCCTTCGCTCCTGCTTGTTGTGCCCGAGTGTTGCACATCGTCACGACGCTCGCTGCTTCGCTCTTGGTGGCTTCCCTCTTGCATCGTTGTTGTTCCAAGGCACGTTTCACTCTGTTCCTATATGTTGCTGTTTGTATTCCTTTCCGGGTTCCCCTTGCATGGTCTTGCTTGGAAACTTTACACGTGAGTTCAACACAAGATTGTATCGTACATTCATCCATGTGTTCCGTCCTCGCCGACTACATGAAGGAAGAGCACGGCCATTTTTGCCTCGTACAGTCATGGATGTGCGCTTTGTGCCGGAATTGGGAATTGGTCCGAGCCGACATAGCCACAAATGTCCTACGGGCACCTGTGACCAGCAGACCTTGAAAAAGGAAACGCGAGTAGGGAAGAAACACATACAAACAACGCAGTTGGAACTTATAGCTTTGCTTTTGTTGATAATTAGTGAGAGACGCATTGTATCTTGTAAATGAACCGGGGAGTTAACTAGCTGTTTGATAACCAACACGATAATCGTCACTCGAGAGACATGCTTCACATCAAAAACCGATCTGAGTGAAAAAGCAACATCACGTCTCAAATACTCGATCGATTCCATCAATCTTGCACCTTTAATAACCCACTTCTTTGTTCCGAATAAGGATACGAGCTTCCTCTTCCAACCTCCACCAGACTACTTTTGCATCTTATAATGCAACAAAATATACTTCAAACAAAGTCCCCCATAAAAAACAGTGTCTCCGACCTCGGTATTACGCGAGGTTGGGCACACCTGTAATGCTCAATATGACAACTAAATGTCTGCAACAGAAATTTTCACGATCTTAAACATAGACATAAATGAACTACATATTGCTCCAGTTGCATGGCGTCCTAAATGAAACTAAGTTGTAGTCATTCTTGTGTGTCAATCATTAAAAAACAATGTTCACGTACCATGATAACGACTTCAAGGCAGATTAATAGGTAATGCATAACAAGCCGTGGACGAGCAAAAAGGTGGGTTACGAAAATTTTTCCTAATTTATTACAAATGGAGATCTCCCATGGCCTCTGTCAGTAAAGTGCAAGTACTAGTGAATCATTAAGATCAGTAGAACATAAACTGTGTTGGAAAGATAACTTTACATTCTCGTGACATAATCCATTTTGCTGCCAGGTAAAAACAATCAGAAGAAATCTGTCAGTGGGCTTTTACTCAGTTGTCACACTCTTTGCAAGGTTCCTAGGCTGGTCGACATTGTATCCTCTTAGGACTGTGAGATGATACGCCAACAACTGCACCAAAGAAAAAATATATCTCATGTCCAACGAATCAGTAAAATCTACTAAAACAAAAGAGACTATCTAAAAAGAATGTTGAAGTACTTTATAAGAACAAAATAGTTAGAACAGCAGCATAATGATAAGGCTCAATCGATAAAATTGATTTTGTTTGTGCTAGTTGAGACTTAAAAAAGAATCTCTTTAAGAACAAAACCGCAAATTACAGAGAGAATTTTAGAACCCTTAAGGTAAAAACGAACACCAAGAGCATAAAGGAAACAGAAAGCTACATGCTCCCTTCCAGCTCCACCTCATCTACATCATAGCTTTGTATTCAGCAAGTTATGACGTATTCAGTACAACAGGAAAGAAAAAAAATGTTGCATCTTGGCAAGCATAAAGATATTTTTTCTTGATAGATAAGCATAAAAATATTATTATAAGCACTCTGTACCTGCAAAGGAACTATATTTACTACAGGCTGAAGACAGTCCTCCACCTGAGGAACTTCAATGACTCTACATGCTCCACCAAGAGACACAGCTGCAGCATCCCCCCTCGAGCACATGACAATCAGGCGTCCTTTACGGGCATGGAGTTGCTGGATAACTGATTGTTGCTTGCTGTTAACATTTACACCTTCAGTATTAGACCAAATAGAGATTTCACAGATGTGAGTTCCACCTATACCACAAAAGCTAACCTGAAGCAGGCATCGTGAGTAGCAATCACTACAATGGGCAGACTCTCATCCACTAGAGCCAGAGGACCATGTTTCATCTCACCAGCAAGAATTCCTTCACTGTGCATTAATGATACTTCCTTTACTTTTAAAGAACCTTCCAAAGCTGTAGCATAATTGTATCCTCTTCCAAACATGAGAAGTGACTGCTCTGCAATTAGTAGCTTAGCAAGATCTTTCATTTCCTGGTCAAGCTTCAGCACCTCTCTAACTTTGTCTACAAGATATTAACAAGGGATTTAATGTTTCATACAAAAAATTTATCAAAATAAGTTTAGTCAGAAAAAGGAGATACAACTCAGAAGTTCAGAAATTGGTACGGTGAGATACGAAGTTACACATACTTGGAAGGTCAAAAAGACAATCGATTATTGCTTCTCTTCTTGCTTGGTTAGAAATAGCGTCCCCTCCAATTGCTAAAGCTAACATAGCCATAACAACTATTTGACTTGTATATGCCTGCTCATAAAGCATATCTGTAAATCAATTTCATGAAAAAAAAAGACAAGAAAACCATGAAGAAGAGAGGATCGTCTCCGTAACAGAATGTCAAAAGGTACTCTCTCACCTTGGTGCTGGCCACGCCTATCTCAGCACCAGCATTTATATGAACACCACAATGTGTATTTCTGGCAATTGCACTGCCAACAGTATTAGTAATTCCTACACATAATGCACCATTCTGGAGAGCATATTCCAGTGCATGTAAGGTGTCTGCTGTTTCACCAGACTGACTAACAAAAACGGCTGTATCTTCTCTATAAATTGGGCCTTGACGATCCAAGAGATCACTTGCAATTTCCATTGTCACAGGAATTCCTGTTTTGAAAGCAAGCAAACAAGAAAAGAGTTGGCAAAAATAAATTAACATCTCCAACCCGCATAAGCTATCATACACTACTTGCCTGAAAGTTCTTCCAAGATGGGCCTTGCAGCTAAAGCAGCATTATAACTTGTACCACAACCAATAAAAACAATCCTCCGGCTCCTCCTAATTGTCTTGAGATGATCCTTCAATCCACCCAGAAGGACAGTCTTAGCTTTGCAGGTGCCTCCACGTATAAGTCTGCCCCTCATCGTGGTTGTTAGGGATTCTGGCTGTTCATGAATTTCTTTCTGCATATAATGTTCGTAGCTTCCTTTATTTATTTGTTCAACTTCCATCTCAAGAACCGAAAGTGCACGCTGTACAGATGCCGGCCTGGAAAGTACACCACGTTTTCCTTTGTCACCATCAAACTTCAAGATAGATACCCCTCCATCCTGACGCAACCAGCATTAGTAGAATAAATTCAGCATCTGTCTTCTCATGAGTCACTACGATATCAAAATACTCTGGAAAGAAATGATCAATGTAATGATCATAGTTATCAGCCCTCGATTGAGGTGACATAGCAGGACTTTCCGCATCAAAGTTCACCTCACATGTTGGCAACATGCTCCTCCAATGGAAAGGGACAATACTATTATTCAACTATATGCAAGAAGTCAAGCCACACAGAATTCTGGCGACATTGAGCCGAAAGCTTCTCGGTACAACTAAATAGGTGGTTACTATTGGTAATGTTGAGCAAATTTTACCATATTGCTACACGGTCTGGTGGTACATTCACAAATTGATACTGAGATGAAAAGATAGAACTCAAGTTAAACTGAAGTACCCCCCACCCCTAAAATCTTAACAACTAAGATTCATTTGGTAGATCAATAAAACATATAATCAAGAGACGGAAAAGGCAGACTATGCCATAAAGGCAAAAGATACCCGTAAATTCCTTGAAACAACTATTTAATTACCTTCAGATGAACAACTTCACCATCTTCAATAACCAAAACTTTTCTTGTGTGCTCAACCAGAGCATTTGCATCACTCGATAAGAACAGTTCCCTGGGATTACCATTCTGGGAAGGGTACTTATCATCATGAAATAATGATCCTTTACTTGATTCTTCTGTCAATTCCTGAACGAAAAAATGATTATGTTACAATTACAATAAATTAAAAGACAAAACAAGAATTTTGACAAGGAGAATGCATAGGTAAGACATACACAGGAATGGACGCAAGGTGGCATACAACACAGTCGAAAAGAGAACTCCTAAGCCTAAGCTAGAGATGACACATCATGGACACCCAAAAATGAAGTAAGAGTTCAGCACCATAGACAACCACATGCTTTTCTCAAACTTGATGTATCAAGACCAAAAATATGTGCCATGGTGGACAACAGTAACAATGCTATTCCAATTCCCGGTTCTAATAGGAAATTAATGTGCATCCAACTTAGCATTTCTAAGGCACTCTATGACCCAATGTACTGTCTCCACCAAGCAAAACGGATGCTATCCAAGATTTCACAGAAAATATTGTATCATAAGAAACATTTGATTGAACTATCAATAAACTCAGTTCTAGAAGTACACACATAGCATAGCTCTTAGTGAAGCTGAAAGGACACAAAGCAATTGAAAATAGAAAATAATTCGTGAGATGTGATCAAAAGTAACTCATTTGCAACAACCGTATCACGCAAGTTTTAAATGAAACTTACTTTGACACCAAGAAGCAATGGACTACCACGCTTACAAGCGATCAATTCATTAGGATAATGCCGGCTTTTAAAAATAAGGGCATAGGCTCCTTCAAGATGCCTCATAACTTCCAGCACAACTTGACTAAATGTGACAGTCATGTCACCTGCAGTCCCAATGATATAACATTCATAAATAAAATGTCACTGAACATTGTTCTCTAGTGTAAAGTAACATGATGGCACACTTCAAGACACAAAGTAAATTATGTGGAACACGCATATATGTTGAGCACAATCCCATAGGTGGTCCTATTTGCCAGTTAATTCGCTACATGCAAACAATTGGAGAAATAAAATCGACTTTTTCCCAAAATGATGTTATTCATACGCTAAAATGCTGTTGCAGAATTAAGTGTCCATTTACTGGGGCCCTACAGAAAGAAAATGAGTCACCAATACAATTTGTTTTCGGATCTGAAGTCCCTACATTTGTTGGGAAAAGTACTGGCGCAACATGGGCCTGACATACATAAACGATACTTCCAATGAAAGATGTCGAAGATGCTTTATGCATCAGATAACTCTTTAGTGTTTACAAAGAGTTGAACAAATTTCCAACACTACAACTTTCATATAGTTGCACATGATTCATCTGTAAATCGGTAAATTAATATAGCTTGAATTGGAAGATTGTAAAACTAAAAATTAAAATGATTAACTTCAACATCTTATTTTAATTTCATGATTAAGGTCACAATGCAATGATGATCTTCATTGCATATAAGCTATTACCTGATTCTTCATTAGATTTATCGAAAACATACTTGGCGAGCTTAGGAATCACTTCAGTGTCGGTATCAGATTCAAATGTGAACCCATGTCGTATTAGTGTTTGCTTCAAGACCTGCAAATGTAAACGAAAAGGTAAGAACCTCAGAAGAATCTACCGGCAAAATTGCTTTGTTAGTTTTGAGCCCGAGAGAAATACCATTGAGATTGTACAACATTTTACAGACTCATCACAAACACAGTAACATATAAATTAGGAGCATATTATATAGTTTCATTAGGAAAGCATCTTGGTATCTGAAATGCTTCTCATCGGGGTAAAATGAGGTCCATAACCTGTCGCAAGGTTCCTTGTGGTACACAGGATATTTGCTGCTAATGATCCACACTTCAAGCAACATATTCTTTGTGAAGACTTTGATGAAAGGTCCATGATAATATGACAGAAAGATAAGCCTTGGCCTCAGTTTATTATTAATAATGCCTCGTGTGGCCTATTCATAACACCCCTTACTAGATCAATCAAATAAAGCTTTATTGATTCAATCAACTTCTCGCTCTAGTCAGCAGCTATGCCTTCACTCACATTCTAAGAAAGGCGTGGTTGTCTAATTTAAATATCTCTAAGATGCATAAACCGATTTATGGCATAAAACCATTCAAACAGACAACATGATCTGCGATACCGCAGGAGATATAAGCATTACATTGTCATAATGTTACAATAATCAATGACAAGGATGTACTTTTGGCCTACATGAAAATTTGAAGTCAACTCACCTCAAAGGTGAAAGAAAGCTTTTATGATGTATATAGTAAAACGCAACCTGAAAGTATATATAAAATTATACTATAGTCCAAATAGATGCCAGTTAAGCCTTAACCAACCTCATAATTAGTGACGACCCCATTGTGTACAACCAGAAAGTCATTTCCAGCACCAGAGCTCTGAGGATGACTATTCCTAGGAGCAGGCTCTCCATGAGTCGCCCACCGTGTGTGTGCTATTCCGGCATGAGTAACAAAAGATTCCTCCAAATTCAAGTCCGTGGCATCAACCTCTGATGAAAACATAATCAACAGTGAGTATTTTGAACTTGGTTGAGGAAAATTAAAGAGCAAAACTTGAGATATGGAGACGTCAAATAATCCATCATACAAATATAACAAAGTAGAACAGCCACACAGAAGGTTCAATTAACAGAATAAACGAGAAAAATCCTGCACAAAAATATGTTCCTAGTTCAAAGATGTTGAGTAATGCATGCACCCATATAAAACTGCAGCATTTAATCCAGTAGAGCCCCTAGAATTTGCATATGAGGCGCGATAGATTAAAAGGTACAAATGGACTCGAGGTGAATACACATGCTCTATGTAACAATATTTCCTTCGATCCAAAAACTGCATTTAAACTTGACAGTGAACATGTGGACCGCTGCTTAACATTCCTCTATGTCCAAAAAGAAATCCTAATGCTGCTCGAAACAAGAATACTCTCATCTTGTTTTTTTTGCTGAATTAATTTCTACGAGAATCTCGGAGAAAAAGATGGACTTTTACCCCTCGATGAGTTTAGATTGTGTCCAGCGATCATTAGCAATAAGGTTAAACTTTCACCCCCCCAGTGAAAATCTAGTTCCACCCAGAAGCTCAGGTATTGAAACAACTTGTAGTGAGTTTAGCCAATGTCCACGACCAATAGCAATAAGGTTGGTCTTGATTAAAGTCCATTGAACAAAGGCCAATTTCATTGTCTTAACGCTTCCCATATTTTAGCCAGGTAACTGCGTTACTTCACCAAATTCAGGGAGCCAAAGAAGAAAAAAGGCGGCCCTTTGGATTATCGAGCTTTTCCGATATACCAGGGGCTACAAATGGAATAGAAACGGCAGAATGATAAAGGGATGCGTCCTCTGTTCCAGTCCAAAAGACGCTCTCCAACAGTGCATGCCGACCATGTGGACGGTTGCTTGAAATTTAGTTGAAAGGGTGGTTACAAAATGACAAATGACGCAGCAGGCTTCTTGAACGAGGCGCTTGTCTAGTCGCAGAATAGCGTCAACAAACAAAATGAATTAACCAAAATACAAACAGAGAGACCAAACCAGATCGAGGAAATGAACTGTATCCGAGGTGCGCATAAAAATCATATGCAGCGACGACCTTAATCGGCAAAGCATAACAATAGGAAAAAGAAAAAAAAGGAGAAACCTTTTCCCACAAGAATCATGTGAAGATCGATCATTCCGAAATCAATCTCCAATTCTTAAAGTTCTCTCCAAATCAATCAATAATAGAAGGAAAAGCTTCGTCAGATCACAAGGCAAGAAGGAAGGGGAACGGCACCTTGGTAAACGGATTTGACGAGGGACTCGATGTTGCCCACCTGCCGGAACACGAGCGGGGGCAGGGAGACGGAGGAGGAATCGATGGAGACGCCGGCGGAGTCGTAGCCGCGGTACTCGAGGCGGCGGAGGCCGTTGAAGAGGACCTGGAGGATGTAGCTCCTCTCCCGCCGCACATTGCAGTTCAGGTACGCGAATATGCCGCACATTTCTCCCCCCCTCCTCCTCCTTCTTCCTCGCCGCCGCCGCCTTCCCGCCCGTCCGAGCTCCGGCTTCTCCGAGAGAGAGAGAGAGAGAGAGAGAGGAAGGAGTCAGAGATGGAGATCGCTTCTGACCTTTGACCCGCTCTTCTTCTTCTGCTTCGTCTTCTCCGTCGTCTTCGTCGAAGGATCTATGGATGACGATCGGCGACTCGTCAGCGGAGGACTCATCCGGAGGAGGGGCGGTTCGCGTCGCCACCCCAACGACCTCGCGCTCGGACGGAACGAAAACGAGAACGAGCCGTGTCGTTTTCCGTTGGGCTTTTCTTCGGCTTGCTTCCCGAGGGGCATTCTGGTCATTGCCGCGCGCGTCAGCACGTCCGCCGTGGCGCGTCCTGACTGGTCGGTGCGCGTGTAACGGCCCCGGAGGGAGCAGCCTCGTATCATAACCCCGTCGAGAGCAACGGATCGTGTGAATCGACTTTGAAAATGGCCTTTCGATTACTTGTTACGCAATTTACACATTCACCCTCAAACTTTCCCATAATAAACACGGAAATAATGAAAAAAATTCCTGGACAAAATGGAATAATAGATGACCGGAAAATTACCAATCATTCCTAATCCTACTATACGAATGTCAGTTAGATCCTAAATTTTCTTAAATTTGCTAATTTAATCCTAAATCTTGGCAATGTATCGGGCTAATAATCCACACAAATTGTTGATGTGGTCGTCCTACGTGACACACCATAACATCAACGATTTTCGGGTGAAAATTGGTTTGATGGACTACATCATAGTTTCGCGCAAAAGTTTATGACTTGGTCGGTAAAATAAAAAAAGATTGAAACTGAATTGGCATTCGTGCGGTACGTTTACATCGATTGGACAATTGACCCTCTCAGAAGAAAGAGGATCCGAAATAGCAGGACCGACTCCGATACCATGTCAAATAAGTGTAAGAAGACCCTACATACACACATATATAAGAAATGTATAAATCCTATAATCAAATAATGTGGAATACTTCAACATACATTTTGAAGAGGACAACCGGGGGTCGTGTTAACATGACCGCGTCCTTTGAATATTTGCGAAATATCGGGACTATTCTAAGCGCGCATGCGACGAGCGGTCATGGGAGGCTAATGTTATACGCAACGGACGCTCCAAGCGGGAATTTAAAATGCAATCAGCACATGTTACATACCAAATTCATGTGAAGTTCTGCATCTGAAGGTGGGATTGTCTTGGGGCCACATGACACATTGACACTACCCTCGTCGCCAACGCATGATGCTCCAAGCCTTTCATCATTGCCGTGGGGGCTGGGGGGAAGGGTTGCGTTTGGAAAATTTGAGACCCTAGACTTGGTTTTGCACTCGATGTCTTCAAATCCAAGAAACAAAACACAAAAAAAAAAGAAGAAGGAAAAACCACGTGGCTCGAAAAAGTGTTGTCGGCCGCCGGGGCCGAGCATATGGCATTGCCGGATGCTTGCGAAGGAGCTGCCTCGGGCTTGTGGTAATTCTAATTCATCTGGTGGCGCTCCACTTGGATTCTCCTTCATTAAGTTTCGTCTTTCATCGAGGCCTTAAGATTTCTATTTCTCTTACTTGAGTTGAGACTCCCAACTTACTTTTATGATTCTCTCTTCACACACTCTCTCTCTCTTCTTTATTCAATCTCTCGCTCACTCACCCTGTGCTCTCACTTTAGTTTAAGTACGACTTTTCCTAAATTTGTGTTTTCGTAATATGGATCAAGTCGGGTATTATGTCGAGTATGGATCACTATATTTGTATTGCATAAAAATAGGTCAAAACGGGTTAAATGAATCAATTTGAGTCAAATCATTTTCGGCCCGACCCATCCATTTGACGAATCTACCGTGAGAGCGAAGCTATCATATTGAGTTATGAAGTTCTAGGACAGTTTTCTGTATAGTGTTTCTTTTCCTTTTTTTTTCCTAGTAGAACTTATACACAAGACATTTCGAGTACTAAGTAATATTCATCGGCTGTTACAGTACCTCAGTCCAATCGAGATGTAAGTATCCGTCTCGACACAACGCGATGTCGATTGCAAACTTGCTTCAGTGCCTGCTCGGTTGAGATAAATAACAAGTGATCCTCTCCAGGCATGGGAATTGGGAACAGGGAAGGCCGTTAACGAAGAAAATTTCACAAAACATCCATGCGAAGAGTGGAATTTTCAGCACTCTCGTCCTTATCCCAAACATTGAATTCTATATATATTCACTTTCGATAAGATTAAATCGAAGAGCATCCGTTTTGAGGTCGACAAGTTGCAATGGTACTATATCAACAGTAGAAAAGAGGGCCTTCTTCAGCCGGATCTGACTGTGTCGATGGCGAGAACAAGATCATCGAATTTGGCGCCCGTCACTTCCTTCACAATCTTGCCTTCCTTCAGTATTTTGAATGTGGGAACCACCCTTATGCCAAGCTCCTTTGCCAATGGCTGCCCTCAAGTTTTTTCCCAGAAAGACAAAAACAAAAACAAAGAAACCTCAGAGAGAGAGAGAGAGAGAGACAGACAGAGAGATGCTTCATCTTGGGGGTAGCAGGAAATGTACCTTGTTTTCTTGGTTGCAATCGAGCTTCAGAAAAACAACATCAAGATACTTCTCGGCTAGCTCTTGAAACTTTGGAGCTATGATTTTGCAAGGACCACACCTATTAAATTCTCGATTGAGAAATATTAACCATCGAGAATCAGACAAGTGAGGAGAAGTTCAAATCTTATTAACACCCAAACTCAATAAGAATTGCATAACTCGGAGAGAGATGTGAGGCTAGCTCCACAATGACATGTACACGAGCAGAAGCAAGTGTACGAGTACTCAGCATCCAGAGGCATTGACACATGCATATGCTATCAAGCACTCACATGTACTTAATTAGATGCTGGAAGTACGGACAATATGCCAAATGAAGCCTGGCAAGCGGCAACACAGTAGACAAAAGACACAGCACACAAGAAGTTGAAAGCAAACCGAAGCTTTGATGACTACATACGGTTGGATGTGGCATATGAGTTAAGATATTACTTCGAAAAATAGAGAGGAGATGGAATTAGATATGAGCCACATATTCTAGGGAGCCACGTTAACAATGCAGCACCTTATTAATGTGCTTCGAGGTGATATCTCCGGTACAAACTTTCTGACATTCTCAAAGAGTTAGGAGAGGTAAAAAATATATGGCACCGTTGTTGAAAGTTAGAGAAATTTACAAGTTATTACACTTACAGCAAAGGTCTAAAGGTCATAAATTGGGAACTGGAAGCAACCCATGATAGTTAGTTGGATCTGATTTGTGATTTGTCATGAGCAATATTTCATTATTGAGTTTTAAGGAATTTGCAATATCCAAGCAGTCAAAATGAAGGAGAGGATAAGGGCAGATGGCTAGTGCATAGATTCGGTCACATTCAGTAGAATCAGCACAATAATAATCTATGGGCATTTTGAAAGGAGAACGATGTTTTGAATATAGACTACTTGAGTAATAGGCATGACAACTTAAGTTGAAGTTTATAAAAGAAAAATGAAGAATAGTAATTCCATAAGTACCCATAGCCTTGTGAAACAGAGGTGCTTGACATATATGAAACTCCTATTTTAACAAAGAAACTGAAAAGGAACATGCAAATATCACGGCATGCTGCCTCAGATATATGGATGCAAAACAAAGTAGCTCTTTACTTAGGCAGATAAACTTGCACATCGCACTAATGCAGATGAGAGGCAGAGACACGGATAGGATATACACAAATGAATACAGCGAAAGGGATAAGTCATTAAACTCAGCCCCAACACGTTCTCTGATAATTGCAAAATCACTGAAATTGATTGCAACAAAACACTACCAAGTTTATATAAGAAATTGGCCAGGAAAACCAGCATGTCAGATATGTTAAAAGAGTTCGATCAAAAAAAGATATGTTAAAAGAGAATTTCTCGTTGCAACTTTCATGAGACCTGGCACATTTGTTTCTCTTTTGGTTTAATGTTGCTCTGATTCTACCTAGATCGTCGGGCTGTAATCCGAACTTCTTGTGATATCTACATAAACGAACAGCATTAAAGATAAGAACAAACAAGAAAAGGCAAAACCATTATGGGTGTCCATCCTAAGTTTCCAGTTACCAATCCGACTTCCTTGTCTGAGCTGCTTCTTCAAATGATCAAGTTAGAAAGAGCAAGTGAATTCTGGGGACATTCCTAAGCAACGGGTCTCAAATGGGTTCAGCAGCTCACCGCTTGGAAGGAGCAAAACACATAAACAGAGAAAACGCTTTCGAACCTCATCTAGTACAGGCAATCCTCGTTACCATGAAGAAACTCCTACCTCTGAAAAAACCCAGCAACAACCAAGTCCAACTATGGATCAACAATCTCAACATCCAATAAAGGAACCCTTTCAAGGGTATCTCACAACTCCATAGTTTTGCAGGAGAACAGGTCACAGAAACACTCTAATATCCCCCAAGATGCCCCAAAGTCAGCTCTCTTATCCTCGAAACGGAAAAGATCGCATCCCGCAAGAGGCCCGACCCATAATTCAACGAACGTCACCGACAACAGTAACAACAACCAAACTCCCTATCCTAGAGATGCTAACGGTTGCCCCATTACACAGAAAGCAAGGAAGCACGCACCACTGGGTGTACATGTCGAGAACGACGGTCTTGTCGGGGGCAGAGTTGACGATGGGCCAGAACGTGTCCTTGTCCACCTCCGTCACCTTCCCCACCGTGTACACACCCGTCGTGTCCACGCTGCACTTCACCACCGCCCCACTTCTGCCGCGGCCCGCGTCGCCGCCGCCAGCTCGCAGGTTCGCATTCTTGGACCCCAACAGGCACCATCTCGAGCCGGAGCTGGAGCTGGAGCTGGAGCCGGAGCTCGGAAAGCGAGGCACCGAGTTATGGGAGCGAAGGGAGGGAGCCGAGAGCGAGAGCTGAAGAGCCATGTCCGAGCGAGCGAGCAGAGTCGTCGCAGGCAGGGCAGTGAGCAGTGAGCAGAAGCAGCAGCAGCAGCCACGGTAACTTGCTCTGCCTTCAACGGAATGAGTGGCAACGGGCGATCTCGTTTTCTGGGCAGGCTGGTGGAAGGACGTGAATGGGCTTCGGCTTGTGGACCTGTCGGGCGCGCGCCGGGGCTGTTTCTGTCATTTCCGTCTTGCGTTTCCCCACTCGCGAAACGAGAGGTGGAGGCTAGCTGGGCTTTTTTCGGGGCCGCTGAGGATGAGTTGGGCCCGAATTCCCGGAGAAAAGCCCACGCATCAGGCATTGAATATAAAGAAAAATAATTAATTTCCCATTACACGTGGCACATTTTCCGGCCCCAAAATAAGATTAGGATTTTGTTAACGAGTAGGTTCGGGCACCGTTTAAGTGATCGATTGGGGAAATTTTGCAATTTTTCGATGCGTTTGGTTGATTGTCCTCGTGTTATTCGCAATCGGTGCTTTGAAAGTTAAATCGATTTTGAATTAAGTGTTGTTAACAAGACTCCGAGGGCGCTTGTTAAGAGAGGCCCTAAAATATATACGGGGCCACACTTTTGCAATCTTTGCAGGCCTTTTAACGGGACCCTAATTCGACAAAAAAGAAACAGGTACTTAAGGTAAAAATTCTTTATTTTTATTATTAAATGTATGGTAAGTACCTGAACTTTTTTCCTTTTACAATCGATTACCTTAAATAAAATTCTTCAATTAAGTATCTCGACTTTTCAAATAAGGTTCAATATGAGTATATAAATTGTCATGTCATGTGATTTTGCTGATGTGACCAACTTGTTAGATATTAAGCACAATTCATGATATGGCTCATTAACTCATTCAGGTATTGGGAGAGAGAGAGAGAGAGAGAGAGAGAGAGAGAGAGAGAGAGAGAGAGAGAGAGAGAGAGAGAGAGAGCTTACTCAGAAAATTTTAACCATTCAATATGTTTCTGCTGACGTGATATCATCTCAAGAGGCAACACTAGAATTAGATACAAATGTGGATAGCTAACGCCTATTTAACAACAATAATATCTAGGTTGGCATTTTTCATTCGCAGTTTTAAGGGTGATCTCACGTTCGAAAAGTTGAAGTGCTTGATCGAATGAAAAGGAAAGTCTAGATACTCAATTGTGAAGCAAGAAAAAAAGGTGTAGATACCAGCGGTGTCATTATCCTAAGAATTTCAAATAACCTTATTTATCGATTGAGACGAGAATACATTCAATCCTGCTCTTCTCTTGTCCTAACATAACTTAAGAGGAATCGATCCGAACATGTAGCTGCGACCCGAGACTCTTAAACTGACAACAACCCACGAAGTGATTCTAGATTTCGAGATTGCTTGTCGGTCGAAACAATGCAAGCAGAGAGACAGAGAGAGAGAGAGGAGTCAACAGGTCAAACCATGTGTGAAAAGCACTGCGCAGCATTGCGTTGTGGTGGGATTGTGAGAGCTGGAAGAGGACGCAGAAGCCATCGGAAGCCAATCAATGGCGAGAAACCATAGGAGGGTGCATCATCCGACGATGAAAACCCCGCGCAGAACCTTATTAGATGCTTCCGTTATTATACGTCAGTGCTGCAGACTTCGCCATTGACGCTTGAGCGAATGGCCATCGAAAGAACGATAAAAGAATGCAAATTCGTTGGCCTAAACATTGACGAAGGAGCATTCCGCGGGAGCTATCAATAGTCAACAGTCAATACCACAATGCGACGTGAGTTCCCCGTAAAGGCCGGCGTACGGATCCTGCCAGCGGCTCATTGTGCCCGTGTATGCTGTGGAGTGCGACCCGATTTGGCGAAGTTTTACCCCGAACGAGTACATTCGATACGGAAGTAATCCTAAAAGTGATAGCGTGAAGTTACGTGATCATGCGAACCGCGATGAATAAATAATTATACCCTTTTTGTGAGTGGATTCGCACGTCATGAAACCTCCGTTAAAAGTGGACGCGTTGTGAGTAAAGATCGAAAATTTCACGGAAAATATATGTGAAGACTCGAGGGGGAAGGTTGACTATCAACCAGGTCGGAGAGAGGGAGAGAGAGAGATGCATGACGTATTGACCATGAGCAAGCAAAGCATAATCCAAAGAACCAGACTTTGTTGGAGGAGACACAGAGGTCAAGTCATGACAGACGAGAGATCGAACGTTGTTTACTATTCTTTTCCCCTCGTTCGCATTATTACCATCCCCACCGCCGGCATCGGTGTCGCTTCCATTTGTAAACTCCCCCCTCGCTCTCTTTCTTCCTCTCTCTCTCTCTCTCTCTCTCTCTCTTTCTCCTTCTGCCTCTTCGTGAATGGATGGTTCTGCCTCCGAGGCATCCATGAACCCAACCCGAATGCTTTAGTTGCAGAAAGCACCAATCTTTGGGGGGAAAAATAGAGAAAAGTTCGGTTCTTGCTTTGTGGGTTGGTGCTTTCTGCATACAAACTGTGTTCGTCTTGGGAAAATGGATCTGGGGAGATTGTTGCTGGCCATCGCGACGGTGTCGAGTTTGACCGCGGTGGTTTGTGGGAACGTGGTGTTCCAGGTTCATAACAAGTTCAAGGGACGCGAGGACAGGAGCCTCACCGCCATGAGAGCCCACGACGCTCGCCGCCACGGGAGGCTCCTCGCCGACGTCGATCTCCAACTGGGCGGCAATGGGCATCCTTCTGAAACTGGGTCTGCTCTCTTCTTTCAGCTTCTCTCTTGTGTAAACATCGAGCTTGTCCGGTTCCCAGGTCTCCAATTTTGTATTCCTTTTGGTTGCTTCTTGATAATTCATTTGATCTGCTATGCACCTTTCTCTTGGCATTGTTTGGATCCAACCCTCCTGAAATTTTTGTCCGGGCTTATCAATCTTCGTACGGGTTTCTGCTAGGATAGGTTTCTTCCTGATGCATTCTCTCCTGCTCTTAAAGGCTGTGTTTTGTGGTGATTATTGTCGGCATTAAGTTTCTTTCTTCTTAATTTGGAAAGAAGAACGCTAGATATGGCTAAGTGGCTGGGTAATCTAATCTTGTGCTTAATTTTACCTGCTAATTCTGATACCTGGATTTCTGCTCCTGTTCTTGCTTCAGCCACTTTTGGTAGATCACTAGTTCCTTTGGTCCTTCTTCATAATTGAATTGCCACTCTGTTCGAAGCCATTTTTCCTTTTATTGTTTTTCACTCTATGTTTAACCAAGTTATCTTCTCGAGCCTCAATTAATTTTGACTGCAGAGTAGCTTTCCATTTTTATTGCCCTTGTTCCGTCTTCTATTTTTTTCTGTGGAATGCTCAAGGCCATCTACTTATTAGTTTGTCATTGAAACACAAAACACAAATAAAGATGTCTGTGTTTATTTTATTTTCAATTGTGCTAAGGTATATATAGGCTTATTGGCTGCTCATTTTCATTCAAGTTGACCAATTTGCCCTCCTCCAATAGGAAGCAGCATATCAATTTTACTTTTGTCTCATGGTGGTTTTATGTCTTTGATGAAATGTGGAACGAGGACTTGAATTTCTAGCCATAACCTTCCCATGGAGCTAAATGAGTGTTTCAGTTGTCTGGCATAGTCAATTTAAAGTTGCGTGACCTCTTGCCTCCTGCAGGCTGTACTTCGCTAAAATTGGGATTGGATCTCCCCCAAAGGACTACTATGTGCAGGTTGATACAGGAAGTGACATCTTGTGGGTGAATTGTATCGGCTGTGACAAGTGTCCAAAGAAAAGTGACCTTGGGGTATGTTTTCTTTTGTTCCCAATATCCAAACTATTGTCATCAGATTTAACTTAGCTCCTTTTCGCTCAGCTCAGATACATTATGGTTATTCTGATACAGATAGAACTCTCACTTTATGATCCTAAGAGCTCGTCGACCGGAAACCTGGTGACGTGCGATGAAGGGTTCTGCACTTCCACATACAACGGTCCCCTCCCAGGATGCAGGCCGAATCTGCTTTGCCAGTATAATGTGGTATATGGTGATGGAAGCTCCACCTCTGGATACTTTGTGAAGGATGATGTGCAGTTAGATCAAGTGACTGGAAACCTTCAAACATCATCCACCAATGGGAGTGTCATATTTGGGTGTGTGGCAGTTTACACGCGGCACTTCTTCTATTGTGAAGCATGGCAATTCTGGCCTGGCTCTCTTTGTTCATGGATTTTTCTTTTCCCTTTAATAGGTGTGGGGATAAACAATCTGGAGAGCTTGGCTCATCCTCTGAAGCTCTAGACGGGATTCTCGGTTTTGGACAAGCAAATTCATCCATGCTTTCTCAGCTTGCTTCATCAGGAAAGGTGAAAAAGATTTTTGCACACTGCTTGGATAGTATAAATGGTGGCGGAATTTTTGCTATTGGAGATGTTACGCAGCCAAAAGTCAACACTACTCCTTTGGTACCAAACCAGTATGTTACGCATTTTCTACTTCTCATATCTGTTGTGGCGTTATTATCCTGTTGTCATTAGGTTGAAGTTTTTAATTTGTAAAATGTATGTAGCAAATGGTTTTCAATAAAAAACATTTTTGCCTTATTCAATTTGTAGTGGGACTTATCCCTTAAAAGTTTCTCTGGAGATTTTGGCTGTAAAGTGTTTAGGTATGCATCTCTTTGACAGTTGCTCATCAAAGAATGCATCTCTGTCAAGATCTTTTGTGCCCCATTTAATCAGCTCCTGGCATTCTTTGTAATTGTACCTTATTACTATTCTAGGCCGCATTACAATGTTATTATGAAGGAAGTTGAGGTGGGTGGTTATGTTCTACCACTTCCAACAGATGTATTTGACAGTGGGGATGGGAAGGGAACAATAATTGACAGTGGCACAACTTTAGCCTATCTTCCAGATGAGGTTTATAAGCAACTTATGAATGCGGTATATGATTTTTTACCTTTCTTACTTAGTCCTCCCCTTAACTTCTGTCTTGTCATTTCCTTATCATGCTAATTTTACTAATTTTGTGTGATTAGATCATGGCTAAGCAGCCTGGACTGAAATTACATACTGTCGAGGCGCAATTCTCTTGTTTCCAGTTTGTTGGAAGGTGCCAGCTCTTCATTTTATCTCCATACTTGGAGGAAATTCTGCTTACTGTATATGTTTCTCAAGCCCTTTGGTTCCAACCCTCCTGTCGCTTGAAGACATTTTTTGTCAATCTATCATTCTGTAAAGTCATAATTGGACGTAGAGTAATAAGAAATGCTTCTTATCTTATCTTCCTCTGTGATTGCAGTGTTGACGATGGATTTCCTGTGGTCAAGTTTCATTTTGCCGGTTCTCTGACTTTGACAGTTTATCCTCATGATTACTTGTTCCAGATCCGTGTAAGTAATATATTCTTCGCACACTAACAATTAGCTTTGTACTCTAGAGTTGTTTAGAACGGAAATATCAATTGAGCTACTTTGGTTATTGATTCCTCCCAAGCTTTGTATGTTGAGGATATTCTAACTTTATGATGCATATGTTGATGTCACAAGGATCAAATGGCTATTGTACTAGATAATGTTGGTTTCTTTCTTCCATGAAATTACCGATAAATTGATTGTGAGTACCTCTGAAGTTGTTTGTTTCATGACCTATATGCAGGAAGATGCTTGGTGTTTTGGTTGGATGAACAGCGGGATCCAATCTAAGGATGGAAAGGACATGACCCTTCTGGGAGGTACCGCTAATTATTACTAATAAACCTTTAATGTGTCTAGTAGTTTCAAAGCATTAGTCAGTCACCGGGATTCACTGTTTAGGTTCATATGGCTTTGAAAATGGGGCTTATTTCTACGATTCTTGCCCACTCTATGAACTGAGTTTGCATATATATTGACCAATCTGTCTGCACCACAAAGGTTTTGCCACTTTTTGGTAAAGAGGAGGAACTAGATGATAGTTCCTTTAATTTAACAACTCTTGCCATTAGCTAGAAAAGCTTTTACCTAGTTACTGAGCCAGACAAATACACCTCTCTCTCTCTCTCTCTCTCTCTCTCTCTCTCTCTCTCTCTCTCTCTCTCTCTCTATACTTTGGAGAGGTTGCTCCACGTGGGATCATTCTTTTCATACACTCATTGGAAAACACTATGTCATGACAGGATTTGATCACATGAGCTTTACCTGTGTGTCTAAATGCAGATTTGGTGCTTTCAAATAAACTGGTTTTGTATGATCTGGAGAATCAGACAATTGGATGGACAGAGTACAACTGTGAGTGCTGTCCTCTTAATTGTGTTTGCTGGTGGAACTTGTGTTTTTATTGAGGATTTCATTATTTTCATAGATTAGAAAGTTCAACAATAGGCACCAAGAGGGTGCAAACCCATATGACCAAAAAAAAAAAAACAATAGGCACCAAGAGGGTGCAAACCCATATGAAAGAGCCCAAATACTAAGCCATACACAAAACAGCTCTGAAAACCAAGAGGGAGCTCAATACAACATAAATCATCAACTATATCAACCAAGGCATTTACATTCATATGCAAGTTTCCACTATGTATAACTTAAGCTTTTATCTTGGATAACTGATGTCTTGTCGGTTAACTTGTCATAGATCAAATAGTTATTCATTGTCCTCCATTTTTTCTAGTGCATGGAGTGACTGGTCCTTTTTTTTCTTACACATGTTAATTTGAGATGTGTCTTTGTCTCTGGCTAGATGCTTTGTTGTCCTTCTAGACTGGCAATTCGAATAGCTTTTTGCAATTTTTATGTGATGCAGTGACAGAATGACATATCCCGTAGTTTTTTAGAACTTTGGTCATTTCCTTTTGTTTCATTACATGTACTTTACTGATGGTATGACATGAGTCAATCAACGAAAAATCTAGTAACTCAAGGTGCAATTTTAATCCAGTCAAAATTGTTTATACAAGATTGCTTAGGTGGTTGCTTAGGGGGAAGTTGGACTTACATAAGTTCCTGCCAGCACTTCTTTGTGATACCTGAAGTTTTAACTAATAAAAAATCCACCAAAATTGTCTCCATAAAGAAAAAAAAGAAGGATTTAGATCAGATTCATCTTAAAGCCTTCAATACAAGCACTCACCTAATATTTGGATATGCAGTAATGTTTCCATTCTAATTCCAGGTTCTTCGAGCATCAAGGTGAAGGACAATAGTGGAGCAGTGTATTCTGTGGGTGCGCATGACTTGAGTTCAAGTACCACTCTTGTCACTGGACAAGTATTCCCGGTGTTGTTATTGTTCGTATATATGCTGCACAGTCTCCTATAGCAGATTAACAAGTTCAAAGTCTCAACCAAACAAAACACAAAGATGCTTACAGACATTCGCATTCTTTTTTACACCTTACTACCTTGGGTAACAGTTTTTTCGCGATTGTTTCAGGATTGTACGAGGATCTCTCTTCTGTAAAATATTCTCTTTTCTAAAGGCATTTACACAGCATACCAATTTGCTGATTATAGTGATCTTAACTGGTCAATTAGACTGCTTTAGTAGGACAAGAAAACCTTTCTTTATAACGAATGCTTTCTTTCACCATATCGCCAGCTGGCGCAATGCATTGACAGTCTATTCTGGTACGCGTGCGCACACACACACATATATAGCGCGCGCACACACACATATGTATACTATATCATGTTGATTTGGTGCTGTATATCACGTCCACCATTTTATTGGTGTCCATGATACTATAATCTACCTCTAGTCTGCTATACACAGCGAAGACATGAAAGGTCATAATACAACTCAGGCAATTGGACTAACTGTGTATCGAGGTGTTTATGAATCGAGGTGAAGTATGGAGAAGCATCAATTAGCAGATGATGATTGAATTGGGTGGATCCAACTATTTCTATGGGTATCCTCTGATTCTGGGTCCTGATTATGAATTATCTGGGTGTTGACTGGATGGCCATTCGAGAAAGAGGTGGCAATCAAGTAGAAACTACTTTTTTCACATATCAATTTTACTTTTAAATGGAGGGCAGTGTGAAGAAAATGTTTTTTTACCCATTTGAAAGCTTTGACCTGTTTTTTCAATGGGAATGGAATGCGAATCACAGGGGCACAAGGAAGGCGAAAATTCACATGAGCAGTGAGTAAAAATCAATGCAGATGCAAGAGGAGCGATTTGCCCTGATGAGAATCAGTTGAACGCAACCTGGAGTGATGAGTACTAAGAAAGAAAGCATGGTTGAAGTGTTGGCTATGGCTTCAAGATGGTAAATCAATCAGAGTTGAAGGGGTTAAACTGTGACTTAGAAAAGAAATGCAGCCATGGCTTCTTCTTTTCTACTCTACCGCCTCTCACAGAGAGACAAAATAGTTTCCTCGGAGTCAAAATACGGTATAGCCGGCAGCGGCGACGACAAAAGTGTTTGCTCTGTAGATCAATCATTTTTCACTCGTGAAACACGAGAGGAAAGTATCAGGGTCATCCACCTTTAACAGGATAAGAACATGTAGGGTCACTAGATCGTGCTAAGATACTCGGCATTCCATCAGTACTTCTGAATCTTGATCCACCCCTCAAGTCTCAACAGAAGGGAAAGGTTTTTCTTTTTGGGCCTTCCCAGTCTTTTGGGTGTTTTTCCTCTCTGTTTGTTCAGTCGGTTACTTTAGTGGAGTCCATAAGTCACGGATGAGGTAGGAAAAGTGGCCGACGGTTCAACAACACACCAAACCATTCAAGAATTAAGCCAAAAATTGCAGAGCAAACTATACGTATTAAGTGCAACTGTCCTCTCTCTCTCTCCCTCACACACACACACACACACATTGAAGTTCACGCCCCCATCATTCTCGTATCAGTGTCAGCAAACTATACGTATTAAGTGCAACTGTCCTCTCTCTCTCTCTTACACATTGAAGTTCACGCCCCCGTCATTCTCTTATCAGTGTCCTGACTCCTGACTCCTGACTCCTGCTCCTGGACTGCTCCTGCAACGCCTCCCTCTCTTTTGTCTGTGTTACAACCTTCCCACGTACAGACAGAGAGAAGCAAAGTTCTTCCAAAGCAGCAATCAAGGAACCAGAGAAATCTCAATTATTACATCCACCGCACGTTCTCTGCTTTCACAGTGTCCGCCACTGTCCCTGCTGATGATTGGTCAGTCAACAATCCAAAAAAGAAGATGCTGCTCTCGTCTTTTCTCCTCCTTTTTTGACCTATTAACATCCAAGCAAAATTTTTGTCCTTTTCAGACGAATCCATATCACTCTGTGTTTGTACATTAGTGTACTTTGAGCAAGCGAGAGTCATCAATTCCCAACGTCGATCGTTTGCATTCCCAAAAGCCATGGAGAAGAAGTACCACTCTTACGTTAACTTATTTTTTTGCATGCTCTTGAGTGTTGCTTCTACTGAAGGAGCTCCAAAAGAGTCTCTCGTCACGTCTTTACCCGGCTTCACTGGCACTTTTCCTTCACACCACTACTCCGGGTTAGTTTTTTGATATATCATGCGAGAAGATTTGGTCATCTAAATTAATAACCGTAAAAAAGTCTCTCTTTTTTCTGGGTTTATAACAGCAATACAAATCTTGTTTGAGATCTTGCAGGTACGTGAACATTGATGACAATCCAGCAGGAAGAAATCTTTTCTACTACTTGGTCGTGTCGGAAAGAAATTCCGCCGAAGACCCGATTGTGTTATGGCTGAATGGGGGGCCTGGATGCTCCAGCTTTGACGGCTTTGTCTACGAACACGGTATGCTTGCTTCTCATTTTCTAATCTCTTCATTTTTTCATTTTAAGATGCTCTCTGAAGGTGGACTGCATGCTTCTAACTAATGGTTATTCTCCTGCGAGGGATTTTCTCCACTTCTTAAAACTCCACAAGCGCAAGGTCTTATTAGACTTACATGTGTAAAGTAACTGTCTATCTCAGTATATAGTCTGAATACTTTTGAATTAAATAGTTACAAATGCACAGATGACTACGCATTCTATGCACAATTACACCCATGAGATTCAAGTCTTTTAAGACATTTTATCGTTGCTTTGTCCTCGTGTATGAGTTGAATTATGCTATTAAGCTGGTAATTAAGCTGACCATACCCGCAGGGCCATTCAACTTCAAAGCAGGAAAGACTAGAAGTGCCCTTCCAACATTGCATTTGAATCCATACAGCTGGTCCAAGGTCCTATGTTACTTTTGAACTGTGATGTCCTTTTTACCTTTGAAGAGGAGGGAAGCTTTCCTAATTATTTTGCAGCCTAGGTTTTAAATGACCATTTCTTCCCGCTGGCATAGTCTCGATTTCCTTATGAAGCAAATTTTTTTCATTTTCTCAGGTTTCAAACATTGTATACTTGGATTCGCCCTGCGGAGCTGGCCTGTCATATTCGACGAACTCTAGTAATTATGATACAGGAGACCTACAAACAGCCGCTGCTACTCATGCTTTCCTACTGAAGGTAGTGTCGTCTTTACTCAGACACAAGTATTTTAATGTGCATAATCCCAAGAAATTAGCATCACACCAAAAGAGTTCAACATACTTGATTGGTGTTGCTGACCTGAGTTTGGTGGAGTTAATTGACCAATTAAATTTAATTTTGCTGCATCTAGTGGTTTGAGCTATTCCCAGAGTTTATCAATAACCCATTTTACATTGCTGGAGAGTCTTATGCCGGAGTTTATGTGCCTACTCTTGCAGCTGAAGTAGTAAAGGGTAATTATTGCCTGCTTAGCTGATGTATCTATTATTTTTTTGATATAATCAAAGAAAAAATTCAGGTTTAGTAAATGGTCCTTCTGCAGGTATAAGTGAAGGTGCTAAACCAGTTATCAATTTCAAGGTAAGTAATTCAGCGACCCCCTTTCTGCTAGGACTTAGATAGGGATGGCGATATCATCTCTTGAGACTTTTCCATCCTGTGCAGGGTTACATGGTGGGAAATGGGGTAACAGATGCGAAATTTGATGGCACTGCCCTTGTACCGTTCGTGCATGGAATGGGGCTAATTTCAAATGGTATCTTTCATGTGGGTTCAATCTTCTTTGGCTGTACCAGATATCACGACAATTTCTAAGTGATCTCTTTGGGAAGCAACATGAAAAAAATGATCTTTATCTGTGTCTAATTCTTTCATCTTCCCCCCAGATTCAACCAAATTTATTCTCTCTGTTGACACTACAAATGTCTAATATCATTTCTCAGAAATTATATGACTAATGCAGGAAGTTTATGCAAATTGTGGGGAACTCTACTACTACAACGATAGTAAGGGTTGTTTGGCTAGCCTGGGTAAAGTGAACAAGGTATCATGACGATCTTGACAGTTTCTTTTCAATTAGGGACAAACTGGTGTACTCTCTGCTGATAAGGGTTGGTATTTCTCAGGCAATCAGCAGTCTGAACATATATAACGTCCTCGAACCATGCTATCATGATCCGGCGAACAAGCAAGATACAAATTGGAGCATCATCTTACCATTAAGCTTCCAGAAGTTGGGAGTAACTGAGAGGCCTCTTGCTGTGAGGAAGAGGATGTTTGGTCGTGCTTGGCCTCTGTGGCTACCTGTTAGAGATGGCACTGTTCCATTATGGCCTCAACTGGCTGAAAAGTTTCACATTGCCTGTGTTGTAAGCTACTCAATGAAATGCTAGCTACTTTTTCTTGCTGGAGGTTCAGATGTGTCTATTTGATGCTTATTATGACAAGTTCTTTATTTTGATTACAGAATGATGAAGTTGCAACTTCCTGGCTGAATGATGACCAAGTTAGGGAAGCAATTCATGCAGCATTGGTAATTTGACTGGCTCTGTGAAATATGGAATTGGCACATTCATTCTATAACCAGTGTTTTTTTAACTATATCCTTTGTGAATGAAAATGCAGGTAAATGTGTCAGGTCCGTGGGAACTATGCACTGGAAGAATAAAGTATCGTCGGAACTCTGGAAGTATGATACCTTACCACAAGAATCTGACTACCCAGAATTATCGCGCATTAATTTTCAGGTAATCGGCCAGGTCATAAGGGGCATCATTTGTGGACTTAGCTAATTTGTGGGTTATTCCCTCAGATATCTTCTATGTTGCAGATTTGAAATATTTTGAAGTTAAGAGAAACAGTCATTTCTTTCTTATCTCATGGTTCTGGATGATTCTCTTGCTATCAGTATCCCAGGGACAACATTATTTTCTAGACCCACCATGTTGAGCTCCACGACTGTCTATTTGACTAGCCTTTTCCTGTCATCTCAAACTCGTGGCATTATATTGCTTTCTAGGCCCACCATGTTGAGCTTCGTTCGTGTCTATTTGACTAGCCTTCCCCAGTCATCTCAAACTAGTGGCATTCTGATTGCACATGATGCGAACCACAGGCCAAGATTTTAAATAATTAAGTCATTTAAGAAGTTACAGACTTGAGAGTTCATTTTCCCTTCTTCATAATAGCCATTCATCCTCAGGTTGACTCACGATAGAGGAATGTGATTTTTCTGTCACCAAAGTAGCAGGCAATACACGATCTTCTTTCCTTTTTTCTGGTTTTTCTTTTGTTTCTTGAGCAGCACCAAGAATTTGAAGATCCCAAAAAAAGTAAAAATTATGTTCTTTTCCTTTTTCCCGGTTTTTCTTTTGTTTCTTGAGTGGCACCAAGAATTTTAAGATCTCGAAAAAAGTAAGAATTCTGTTCTCTGGCAGTGGAGACCATGACATGTGTGTGCCATTTACTGGAAGCCAAGCATGGACTCAATCCCTCGGTTATAAAATATTGGATGAATGGAGGCCCTGGATGTCGGCCAACCAAGTAGCCGGGTAATTTCCAAACTTTTATGTCTCAATTCTAGTATCTATGATAGAGAAAAGGAAATAAATGAAGGTGAGAGATTTTGCAGATGGCATTATTGCTTTATAAAACATAATAATACCCCAGCAAACCAAAACAGCATACTTAACCCCGTAACGAGCACTAAGTAAATGTTGACAGGAGTCTCTTTACTCGCTAAAATAATGAAATCCCACTATACTATAGCTGATTTAAACTGGACCTTGACTTGTTATAGGTACTTACAAGAACATGATCACAACCTCACATTCCTCACCATCAAGGTATGTCGATGAACTACATCAACAATCTTGTCCATCTTCAATTGTTGCAACGCAGTAAAATCATACCAAATCTTTCCACCTGCTATAACTGTGGTAGTTGTTTACTTTCAACCCCACGTCATATTGCACAGGATCACTAGTATCCTTAGGAATAAGAATTCCTTTCTGTTTTTTTGTCCTCAACAAGTGAGTTTTTCATTGTCGAAAACCAATGAGTATGGGAGGACTGCGATATAGTTTCACAAACTAAGTCTGCCAATAACAATAGGTTAGATAAATCTTTCCAAATGCAACACGTTTGATGACTCTATCAGCTCTGGCAGTGCCTCCATTATATATCCTCGCATTCCTCTCCTTCCAAAGAATATATATCTCAACATCCCATGCTCATAACCTTCTAACTTATTTTGAATTTGGTTGGGTAGGGAGCAGGGCACACTGTTCCAGAATACAAGCCCAGGGAGGCACTGGATTTCTATACTCGTTGGCTGGGTGGAAACCCGATCTAGTAGCTGGACGGCTTTTACTAGATTGCTTGATTTCTTATGATAGCAACATTCATTTTCTCTATGCTCTAAGCCATGAGAAGGAAACGAATCTTAGGGACAGTGAGCAATCTGTGAATGCTTCATCCTCATACATTTGATCTGGGTGATATATGGTATCAGACACCAGATATTGCTAGCAAATAGAGAAATCGACTGATTGCTTTGCGAATTAAAGGCACAATGACATGCCAAATCCAAATGAAGTCTTCTACAGTGGCTGTTGTCTATAGAAGAAACACGAACCTAACTTTAAACTTGTAATGAACTCGTACTCAGAGCATCGCATTCAAGTTCATGAACATTGTAGCTCCGATGTGTCTAACTCCAAGTTGATGAAAACTTTCTTGCTTTAATGGACCAAATCTCTCGTCATACGTTTGAGTTGGACCAAAACTTTTTTTCAAGGTTGAACAGCACAGATGACAATCCGGCAGGGAGAAACTTCCTAAGTCCGTTTGGAACTCTATGTACTCTTATGGTCTGTAGTAATAAACCCTCGTAATCTATGTCCAAAACACGAAGAAAAAATCTGCACTATACCCAATTTAAGCAAAGAACTCAGGGAAGGCCAGACTAAATCAGACATGATTGATGAATCGGCGACTCCAGATGAAAATAGAACTATAAGAATCACCACATTCTAGAAGATGAAAAAAAAAAAAAAACTTGACGTGGAGCTCTAATCAAGAGCTGCCTGATCTCATGTGACAGGGACCTTGTTCATCGTATCACGTTTTTCGTAAGTTTTTCCTTGACCAACACTGAATGACCTACGGAAGTAAAATTTGACTCTGCCAATCGCCCTCTCCAAGCTAAATTTCCAATGAAGTAACATAGAATGGTTCCAACAAAGAAAACTAATGACTCTTCTGTTTGTCTCTTAAATCTTTCTCTTGTTATTCTACGTGCATATCGAGTTATTTGCTCCATTGGCTTTGACGAACTTTCCCCCTGCACAAAAGACATTTCATATAAACAAAAAGATCATTGCACAAAGCATTCAAGTGTCTCCTCTGTTTGTCTCTTTCATCTGCCACCCTCTCTCTGTCGTCTTCTTCATCTGTTTGTTGTACTTAATTGAACATCCATGTTTTTCTCTCATTCGCTCCATCCCTTGCACATGCACAAACCGTCCACCAGCTTACGCATAGGTTTACATGGTTTTACAGTGCTTTGTGAAGTTATCCAAATTTGTGCTGTCATGAAAATCATAAGGCTCCTGCTTGGCCTTCTTTTCACTGTTTTATTTACTACAGCTGCTCCGACAGAATTGCTTGTCACTAACCTGCTAGGCGTTTTCTGGTCATAGTTGTTTTAACCTGTCTTTGAGTTTTGTTTGGTGATATGCTATCTAGCCAACTCATTATTATTCCTAGCACAGTGGAGCAGCGTATTAGAACAAACAATTTGATTGCTGAGCAGTTATTGCACGACACCGGATTTACATGAGTCTAATACATCTGAATCTTTAGGTGGTTGAGAAAGATGTTTAGATTGTGCTGGCTGCATGCGAGAACTTTTCCTGATTGAAATAATAACAAAAAAAGGAAATTTAAAGGCGGGCAGGAGGAGAAAATGGTAAAAAAAAATAAGGGAAAAAGCATGCCACAAGTGCGATAACTTTTTTTTTTCCGATCACTTAAGTGCTATAACTTTCATACGGCGTTCACTTGAGTGCCATCACTTCTTTTTTTTTGATCAGTTGAGTGTAATATAACTTTTTAATTGATCATTTGAGTGCCATAAATTTTAAGAACGTTCATCACAAATCCTATGCCATGTCGGATTTCTGACACTTGGGTGAACGTTTTTAAAAAGTTATCATATTTAAGTGATTAATTGAAAGTTATAGAACTCAAATGAATATTTTTTTGAAGTCATGGCGGCAACTCAAGTGATTGAAAAAAAGTTCTGGTGATCAAATAAGTGTCATACGAAAGTTATGACACTTATGGTGTCCTTATTCCAAAAACAAGTTACTTCTCACTTCCCTAAGTTTTCCTCCATCACTTATCGATGCCAGATGAGATATAGACAAGAAAGTACTAACAAAGGGCTTGAACTAGAAATAGAATACCACTTTGCCACCTTTTCTTTTGCTGAGAATATGTCTCGAATTTGAGCTATAAAGGAAATCCGATCTAAGTAAAATTCAAAATCCAAGTAGGACTTGTGGTTTGACGCTCGAACAAGTAACAAATTATTGAAATACAGTCTACATTGGTGGATCCCTAGTTTGAGTAGGTTTTTCTAATTTGAGTTGGCTTGGGATCCGACTTTTACATAGATAAGAGTTTTTTTTTACAGTACTATTACATAAATAAGAGTTGGGTTTAGATTTTAGCACACCGGAACAGATGAGCTTTTGAATGAAACAATCAATTGTGCGGCGTGCTTGTGAATTACATCTTGAAAAAATTGCCTATTGTTTTGAAGCCAATAAATCTTGTGAAAAGATTTGTGAATTCGATTGTGAAATTGAAATATTTTTTCACAAGAAATTGTGAGGATTAAACTGTGAGTTATTGATTATAATTAGGGACCGGAAGTATAGTTGTAATCTCCGTCGTATCACTTGATTTATAATTAAATCGTATGTAGTTCTCCTCATGGAGTAAGTCACACACGAAACATGTAAATTTGGTGTCCGATTTATTTCTGTTTATTATTGTTTTTGATCGCTTGCTTTCCACAAGACCTTATACATATAATCTTTTAAATTAATTGAATGGTCGAACCAAAGCATGTCACACAACTCATTCTGTTTGTCTCTTTCATCTATTCCTTGTTCAAAATTTGTTTCAAGTTCCCTTCTTCATTATTTTTACCATACAAAATGATAGCACAAGCATTTCAAGGACTCCAGATTCTCATGTGACAGGGACTATAAGAATCACAGAATTGTAAAAGATGAAAGCTAAACTTAATGTGGAGCTCTAATTGAGAACTCCTGATTCTCATGTGACAGGGACCTTGTTCATCAGATCGCGTTTTTCATAAGTTATTCCTCGATCAACACTGAATGACCAACAGAAGTAAAATATGACTCTGCCCCTCCCCAAGCTAAATTTCCTATGAAATAACAGAAAATGGTTACAAGAAAGAAATCTAAGGACTCTTCTGTTTGTCTCTTCCATCTTTCACTTCTTGTTCCACGTTCATATCGAGTTACTTGCTCCGTCGGTGTTGACCAACTTTCCCCTATACAAAAGACTTTTCACATGAGCAAAAAGATTATTGCACAAAGCATTCAAGTGTCTCCTCTATTTGTTTTCATCTGCCAACCACTCTCTGTCTTCTTCTTCATCTGTTTTACGTACTTAATTGAACATCCATGTTTTGCCCTCATTCATTCCATCCCTAGCACAGGCATATGCACAAACTATCCACCATCTTATTCATAAGTTTACATGGTTCCGCAGTGCTTTTTGAAGTTACCCAAACTTGTGCGGTCATGATAATCATAAGGCTCCTACTTGGCTTTTTTTTCACTGTTTCATTTACTGCGGCAGCTCCTAGAGAATTGCTAATCACTAACCTACCAGGCTTCAATGGCACTCTCCCCTCTAACCATTATGCGGGTTAAGTGCTAACAAACATGTAATTTTGTCAATATTCTACTTCATTACAAGAATATGGGATTTGGAATATGCAGGTATGTATCAATAGATGGAAGTCCTGGAAAAAGAATTTGTTCTATTACTTCGTCATTTCTGAAAGAAATCCTTCCAAGTACCCTGTTGTACTGTGGCTTAACGGTGGACCGGGCTGCTCCAGCTTTGACGGTTTCATTTACGAACATGGTTTTGTTACAAGCTCTGAATTGCAACTTCCATAGTTTTTTTCTTCCTCTCAGACATTGTGCACTGCTTAAAAGACTAATGCCTACTTCCAGGACCATTAAAATTTCAAGCAGGAAAGACGAAAGGAAGCTTGCCCACGTTGCACCTCAACCCCTT